GCAGCAGGAAATCCAGTCACAGGAAGAGTGATGTCAGTGTTGTACAACTGAGGCACTGCAGGCTTGCTTGGTTTTATAGTGCCCAGTCTCAGCTGTTTTGCTCTTGGAGCTGTTTAGTTCACTACTTTTCTTTTCAAAGGCTAAGTTAGCTTTTGTTCTTTACCCAACTGGTATTCTAGGGAAAGTTCTTCCTGGTTGTTTCTAGGTTGGCAACTATTTCTTACATTGTTTCATGCAGTTACCTGGTGTCAACTATCCGTGGTTGAAGGACAGCCACTTTTTTTTAGCAGGACACAGCCACCCAAAGTCAAGGGCAGACATAGTGCTTGCCTTGTGATCTGTAGTTCTTCAAACAACTGGCTCATTCAACTAGCTTTGCTATCGACATCACTCTTTCTGAAGTTGTGACATACTTGTTGAAATGCTGTGGTTCAGATTAACCTAATTTTGTAACTGATACTGTATTGTATACACAAGAAACATTGGCTATTTAATAATTAGTTAGCAATAACCTGTTTGTCTTAAACGTACAGCAGCTGTGTGGCCTAAACTATGGCTGAGACACTGCAGGGCAAATAGCTTCTGGCCAGCTTGCTGAGACACCTCTCAAGAGAGCTTGTGACAGTGCTGTGCTACCTGCTTTGGTGCTTCTGATGTCTGTTTTTTTGAGGGAGGAGCATAGCATTCTGTCTTCCCTAACCTCATTCTTTCAGTCTCATATGGTATGTGTCTCCTAGTTTGAGTTCTTGTCACCTGTCTTTGAGTCTGTTCATATTATGCTGCGTTTACAGCAGCCTTCATAGTAATCCTTGTGGATTTTCAGATGAGTTGGTAGTGTAACGCTCAGAGTAAGCAGTGTAATAGAATAGCAAGAGTGTATGAAAATGAGGAAAGAATACACAGGGGTACCCTGCTCTGCCTTGCTGTGAGTAAGGGATGACCCAGAAACTTAGAGAAAAGGAACTAAATTCTCTAAACTTATTTGGACAATAAAGGAGGAAAATCATTAATGATAGAGGAAGGCTTTATATGAATTGCAGGTGTAATGCTAAGCTAGCTCTTTTCATTGAATAGATGCTACTCTTGTGCATTTTGAGATACAAGAACAGATGACATTTTGGAAGGAAATGGCAAAAGCTGAAAAGTGGTCCACCCTCCCCCTCCTCCCACTTGAAATACGTCAGGACTCTCTGTAGTGTTACTCATTTCTTTTCTTTCCCTCATCTCAACCTCTTAAATCTGATTTCTTCCTAGGAAATTCAGCAAGTGAAAACCCTTGAAGAATTAGAAGCTTTCATGCTTAAGCATGGTGAGAATATCATTGACACACTGGGAGCTGAAGTAGACAGACTTGAGAAGGACCTAAAGGTAAAATTTAGTTGCTTATTAAGGAATGCTTATTCTGTGATGTATTTCAAACAGTATTCTTGCAGCAGCTTTTGGAATTTTGTCTGTAAATGTGGGAGAGGGGAAAACGTTGATAATCCTAATGCAGATTTTCTTGCTGTAGTATTATTACCTAAGTTCTGACCAGCAGCAGACCCTTTCTTTGCCATTGATCTGCTTCTTATGTATTTTGTTCAATTGTATACCACTGTAGAACAATATTTTTGCAAAATGAGACCTGACTGTGTCTTTGTTACTTTATTCTTAGAATGTCAGTTTTTTTACAGGCTGTTGAATTCTGTTTTGGTTTTGAAGAAGCAGATGACACTGTTTATTTTAATTATGGTACCTAACATTAGTATCAAATATGTCAGTGTGTGAGGGCTTATTCAACATTTTTTGCTCTTGTTGAAGCAGTACCGTGTTTACTTCATTCATAAGCCTGCCGTAATTTTCTTATTATTACTATTTTTTTTAAAATTCTGTGATGTCAATATCACTTGGGTGATGCAATGAAGGTCTGTTTCCATTTTCAATTTTATAATTATATTGTAGCTGCTAATCTTAACTTTTCTGGCATGAATACAGAACTATAAGCATGCTGACTGCCAGACAGATCAGACTGCATTTTCCAGTCTTGAGACACTGCTCAAGAGCATGTCTATCCTTGCTTATTATATTTGATAAACATTCTAGTTTTATTTTCTATGCCTAGAGCAGTGCTGTTTAAAAATCGAACTATTATTTTTGAGTTTAATTGCACCAGCAGATCCAGTTCTTCATGGTTTTTGAAGAGTAGGATCCTAGCTAATTTTATAAACATAAATACTGGTTTTTGATACAGGCAGGGATTTCAGTGGTTGTGTTGCTGTTGAATATGCTTTACTAAATATGCTAGCCTGATTCACATGCTGGATGACTTTGAAGTCGGTGCCTTTCAGTAAACCTCTCATGGATTATACAGTCCATGTAATGATGATAATATATTTCTACAATATCAGAAAATGCATATTTCTCGACACAAAGAGTATTTTGAACCTTTATAAATAACTTCAGTGGCATAGAACGAATTATTTCAGCAATCTTATCCCTGATTCAGGAAATTGTCTTTTAAAACTTTGTTAAAGTGCGAGATGTTTATTTGTTTATTTGGACAGTTTTATACCAAATCTAACTGTCTTTTTAAAAGTCAAGAGCTGCTTCATACTGTATAAAGCATAAGAACTAATTTATCTGTGATGTTGAAAAGAATTTGTCAAATAAAAAGATTACTTAGCTTTCCAAAAATTGCTTACAGTATGAGCAATGTTGTTTGAAGCTATTCCTCATGTCAAAATAGTCCCTACGTTACCAGAAAGGGGGATTTGTTATCCATTTGCCAACATCATACCAGAAATACAGTATTTATATTCTTGTGCAAAAATGTATTTGAATATTTTCAATATAAAAGGTGTTTTTTCCCCCCCCCTTAATTTTATTTCAGCAACGAAACCCTGATGTGCGTCATGTGGATTTGGAGATACTATAGACTTGGCAGGAGAAACCTTCAGGTTGCTACCGTTTTGGAAACAAGTCATGTAAAGGGCTGAAAAGCTTCTGAAATTGCAGTGACCTCAGCACCATACCTCAGTTACTTTTGCTGTAGGCTTCATGGACTGTTGGCATGGCGTCTGTTTCTGGGAGAGCACTAGACTGACAGACAAAAAGTTTCCATGGCAAAATCAATTTTAAAAAGCTACTTGACTTAAATTCCACAGGAGAACCTGTCAGAGTATATTTACTGCAATTCAGAACTTAAGACTGGAGGTTTAGTTAGGCAAATACAGCTACCTGAAAATATACAACACACTTAGTTTTTCCGTTTGTGTTCCTTTGCAGTCAGTTTGCACTTGTTTAGTTTCTTTCAAGATATCATTAAAGGTTCTTGGGAGATATTAAGATTAGCTAGGAAGAGTTTGTTCCAGTGGAACCTGCCAACCTTGAACTAATTGTAATATTTGAACTGTGTGATTGTTTCACAGTTTTTCTTTTCTATGAGAAATTCTTCCAAACAGGCACTGGCTTTCTCTCAAGTACCATGACCTGGAAACCTGCTTTTTGCCCCTGTGATTACCAACTGCACTTCAGAAACAAAAAGTTTCTTCCTCTTCAGCAGAGTCAGCTGTATGTGGTTAGCCAGAGTATGTTAAGTTACTGTGAAGAAGTGACTGTGTAGAGATTTGTTTAAATTTTGTTTCTTCCCCCTACTTTGACACTTGTTTTCTTATTTCTAAGTATCTTCAGATGTAATCTGGGAGATATTTATGGTAGTGCTTATTAAAAGTTACCTGGCATTTTTTGGCTTTTTATACTTTTAATAGGCTGTGTTGCCAGATATGGTCTTTGCTAGAAGGTGTAAGAGATGTAGTTAGAAGTTGCCATAGTAAGAAATGTATTAGAATTATTTATAATTAAACAAATGAATACATTGTATTTTTAATTTATTTACCTCTAGACATTATCTGTTATCTGAATTCTAAACTGCTGACTTTGTGTTTAAGAATTGACCTTGTTTGTTTGGGAGAGTAATTCTATTAGTGATCCTCAGCAATCCTGAGAGAAGTCCTTAGAGTTTATAACTTTGAAATGTGCAATTCTAACACTGTGTATAACCAGAGCCTCAAGGCTTTCTGCAGTGGGCACCCAAGTTGTACCAGATTCTTTGAGACCCAGTGTTTATTAATAAGGCCATGAATACTGATCGTGCAAGTTGAAATATAAGTGAAATAACTGCTTATATAAATAACTCTGCAGAAAATCTTTTATGCACTTTAAAATATTCCAGTAAAATGCAAAGTTGCTCATGGGTGAGAGGTAGTAAATATGTCCTTTCCAGTGACTCAGATGCTAAGTAATGTCTGACTTGCTAAAAGAAATGTTGATCTGAAACACAAGTCTTCAAAAATCAGTTTAAGATGAAATTATAAGCATTGCAGCAAATAATAATTGTGGAGACCAATATGTCCAGATCTGACTGAAAGCTATTTAGAATGTTGGTTGTGGTGTTGGTTGTGTGTTTTTGGTTTTTTTTTCTTCTTCCTTCTGAGTGTCACTTACCAGTGAATTTAAAATAGCATGCCTTTCGACAACAGCACGGCAATTTGCATGCTGGTCATTTTAAGTAGGAAAACATTCCAGAGTTTAGTCACAGACAGGACTGTACTGTAACTGTGGGTGAAGGGCTCTCTTTAGCACCCTTGTCCATAATCCCTGTTCACCAGAGGCTTCTTCACAGCATATTAGCTTATTATGGCTAACCCAGAAGAAAGCTTGATCAGTTTTTCTCCTGTTGTAGAACTTCTTTAGTATATTTAAGCCTGGGGATTGGAAATGCAGTTTAAAGGTAATTTGGAAGTGTACTGTATCAAGTAAATATAAGGCATGTATTAGCACATTATAAATCATTTACCTTTTGTCTTGCCCTTCTGTACAAACTTCATCTCATCTCAGTATGCACTTGACTGGTGTTAGTCTTACAAGTGTGTGCTCCAAGAGCACTGGAATCTAATCATGCACAACCTTTTTCTTTTCCCCCTTCTTCCTAGGCTGTTTCTATGCATTTTGATTTTGAATAAACATTTTAATAAACCCATTATTTCACAAATCTTAAAAACCTGAAGAGAAGAAAAATTGGGAAGAGGCTCTTGCTGGGGAGGTTAGTGGAGATAGCCAGTATGATCAAAGTGGTTTGTGTGCTGGAGTTACTGGTGGACGAAGAGAGTGAGCGTGCACTTTGCAGGGCAGGAATTGCACTGAGAGGTTAGGAAATGTTGCCTCAATACCGAAGTGTTCCCATGTGTTGTCTAAGAGGAGGCGTGAGTTTATATTCTTACAAAGCATCTGCTCCAAAAGCCTGTGAAAATGTTTTCTTATTCACCGGAGATGTAATGTTATGAATTCCGATCTTAATTTCCTCACCCGAGTTAAAAGCATTCCCATCCACACACTTTTGTTTGTATTCCAAAATAAATTTCAGGTCCTTGCATCCCCATTACGTTATTGATAATAACACCACCATATGTTAAATATAAGAAGCCAGAACTTAAATGTTACTGGATCCATAAGTTGCATAGTTTGAGGACCCTGTTCTGATTTTAAAACCAACCTGGCTGGTGATGTGTCACAAAAAGGCAGGCAGGCTGGCTTTGGCTGTATCTTGTAAGTTTACATGTTTTGTAGTTCCATTAAAATCTCAGTTCATTGAGCCTGTAAGGCTGGAAATGAGAAATAATTCCAAGCTGTTACATTTCAATGTATTTATTATAATTTGCAGATTGTTTTTACAAAGTTTTGACTTTTTTTTTTTTTAATGCTTCTCTTCTTAACTGTTGTTGTAGTCTAAAACCTGAGGCAATGTGGGTCCAGTACTCAGTTTACTTTTTTTAGGAAAATGTTTAGCTAATACATTTACATGATAGTATTCTCAGAATTAAAAAAAAACAAACCAAACAAAACACAACAACAACCTTACAAAGTGTGGAGGAGTGGATTCTTTTCTTTGTCACAAATGCCATTGCATAATGTTTCTTTTAGATTGATTTTAGGGAAAAGGATTTTAAGGAAAATGAGTGAGGATTTAGCTAACAATAAAGTTATATTCTAAGATTTTTTCAATTAAAGTGTGGTCTTTCAACTTATTTTTGTAGACTGGCCTTGCAGGTTCTATTTTTTTCCCCTTGTGTTCACAGTGGCACTGCACTTTGCTTTGAAAGATTGCTTGTGTTGTGCAGTGTCTTCTAACTCTAAAGCTTGCAGTTTTGGGGAAAATTGTCTTAGTGTTCCAATATACTGAGTGGTCGTAATGTTTTTAAGTCAGAGCTGTCTGGACACTAATAATGTTTGTTTTTTTTTCCTGTGGAATGTTTTTGTTTTTCTCTAAAAGATAAAATTATGAAGTGATTATCTTTCCCCAGTGAATCAATTTCAAGTCTAAATGGTCTCCTTTATACATGGTGGAATTCAGTATTTGATGTGGTCCCCCTCGACCCTGCCACTTTTTAAAGCATTTATTAAGCATATTGTAGGAGTAAATACTTCAGTGGACTACTGTATTGCAGAGACTGTTTGCTGTATGTTCTGCTCTAGACGTAGCAGGGACTAAGGGAACAGGAGAACACATTTTTTTTAAAGACAAGTTACATACTTTATCCCCTGTGACTTGCTCAAGCTGAAGGGTTTTTAGCTTTTGCTTTTTTTTTTTTTTTCTCCTTCCTAGAATTCCCACACATTTTATTTTTCTGATAACTTACTTTTAGAGGAAGAAGTCAATATAGGCATCTGTTGTGGTTTGAGGCTTGG